GGACATGCAATCTTGAGTGGCCTTGGTTCGGGGGGTCCTTACTCTTTGCGCAGAGGCAACAGCTGTTGGAACCCGCTAGACATTCGTGCCCAAATGGCTGTGGGTCAAGAATAGGGTCACCCCAGAATGGCTTGCCCTGGTAAATGGAAACGCGGACTAAAATCTGCGGTCCCCTGGTGGTCGTTTTTGACCCACATCCAAAGACCTGAAGAGCCGTCTCTCTCAATGTGTCAGTGCGGTCAAAGTGCGCTCGCTTGACCAATGCTTTGCCGAAGTTGGAGTTATGAGCAGGCACTCATGGCTCACGACTTGGCGGTTGGCGTCGGCGACGCTGTCGGACCTGGATGCCAAGAGAGCATGCAGGTTTGGTTCCTAAGGGATGTGTTTTGTGTTTAACACGTGTAGCCGGCGCTCGAGTTCCCTCTTGCTGTCTCGCAAGTAAGCCCTCACTGGATGCTGCCTGACATTAGGTGGCTATGCAAGTGTGTGTTGGCAGAAATCGAGGGCGGTCAAGGTCCTATATGCGGGGACGCCATTTTGCCGCTTCAGCAATCTGGCGTTTCTGCCCGTAGCCAGGTCTTGTGGCTTGTGTATGGGCGTATTTCCCTTTGCCACATCAGATTTGGTTGCTCCGGAAATCTACTACAGCAAGTGGGCAGACAAGTGGGCAGAAGTTCTGTGAAGGCTCATTGGGACATCGCGCCATATTGAGGATGGCTTTTGACATGCGCAGGCAAACATGATCGGACAAAGTATATACAGAAGCAGAATTTAAGTATTATGATCTTTTATTTATTGTGATTACCAGTGGAGCCGGCGAAGCCGGTGGGCGGAAGTTTCTAAAGCGACAAGAGTGCCTATAGGAAGAGCTTGGCTTGTTTTTTTTGTGGGTTTCGCTGTTTCTGTGTTTCTTTCTTTTGTTCTTTCTTTTTTTCTTTCTTTATGTCTGTCTTTAGTTATGTCTTTCTTTCTTTCTTTCTTTCTTTCTTTCTTTCTTTCTTTTCTTTCTTTATTTATTGTTTGCTATTTCTTTCTTTCTTTCTATATTTCTTTCTTTCTTTCTATATTTCTTTCTTTTTTTTTGTTACTTTCTTTCTTTCTTTCTCTATATCTTTCTTTCTTTTCTTTCTTTCTTCCTTTCCATATTTTGTCTCTGTTTTTCTTTCTTTCTTTCTTTATTTCTTTCTTTTTGTTCGTTTTTGTTTCTCTTTCTCTTTCTCTTTCTCTTTCTCTCTCTCTCTCTATCTCTTTCCATTTGATCTATCTATTTGCCTAATCTACCTATCTATCTGTCTGTCTGTCTGTCTGTCTATCTATCTATCTATCTATATATCTATCTATCACCTGATCTTGTGAAAGTGCTGCGCCTGCCACGAAATCTGTACTCGGCTTTGCGAAAATACTGCGCCTGCCACGAAATCTGCACTTGACCTTGCACGGGCACAAAATATTGCGCATGCCACGAAATCTACACCTTGGGTTGCCAAAGTGCTGCGCCTGCCACGCAAAATAGACCTCCGAGAAACCTCCGAAACAGTCTGCGCGGCCGTGCCAGTGGGGCGAACCCGTGGCGAACCCGCACGCAGAACAGAGGTACCCTTCGCGATTCTCCGTGCTAACTTCATTTCTGAGTGCGTCCGGATCTTGTGACTCAACTTTTCGTATTGCAGAAGTTTTCTTACTAAACTTCCTTTGATGATTATTAGTATATTAAAATATTGTTTAATAGTTCGCGTTTCAAATTAATTTGCATAGAGTATGTTTGTAATATTTATGTAATTCTAATTTTATTAATTATACTAGTTATATAATTATATTTCGAATTTAATATAAACATTCAATATTTGTTATGTATATATAAGTGTGTAGTATGTGCATAGGTGAATATTTTGTTATTCGATGGTTGGGGTGTTTGGGCCTAAGAGTATAGTGTAATTCAGAGAGGAAAACCGGCCCGCGCTGCATTTACGCGGGGTGAAACGTGGTAATCCAATATTGGAAGTGGGGAGCTGAAGGTTTAGGTCGGGTGGTCGCCAAGCTCGAAGCATTTTCATGAAAACAGGAGCCGGAGATCGCCGTCAGTTACGATGACGAGCTTGCCATAAAGGAGGAGGTCACTGCCGGGCATGGCACGAACTGACTATGGCAAGAACCTGGGTGTCAAGGGGCGCAACGCGTGAGGAAGACGCTGACTGGGGTGCGGGGCAAGCCCGGTATCGAAGTAAAAGGTGGCGTTGTTGAGTTAGGCACCCATAAAGAGGATGCCGGACATGCAGTTGCAGGCTGCGGGTCCGAGATTCATGGATGACCAATGTCGATATGGGCATGACCATTGGCAAGAGGCATGGAGAACATCCTCACGGCGGTCGGCCCGAGGTGGCGGGACGAGTGTGGTGGTGCAGTCGGCTGCCGTCGGGGGTGGCCGCTGGGTGGGAAGTTCGCGGGGTGACATGCAGTCTTGGGGAGACACCGCGAGACCAAGAGCAGACAACGGGGAGGGCGCGGAATAAGACCTGGGCAAGTCGGCAAGGTCTTACATCCGGAAGGTGCAAATATGGTTGAGGTGTACGAGGATGCAGCCACGTTAGTAGGACCTGGCGCTGTGCAACGCGCTCACTGGACGTGCCTGGGTCTACGCAGAAGCTGGCCGAGGTTCATTGGATATCGAGGTGACGAAGGTGGCGCAGCTCATGGGCGACCTGTTTAGAAGGTGTCGGAAGAAGAGCAGGCGGCGAGGGACTTCAACGTGGAATTTGAGAGGAGGCAGAGGAGTCGTGACTGCTGTCCAGCGTCCTGTGAAGCTGCTGCAGCACACTGCGCTCATGCAAGATCGTCAGCGCGACGATCTGAAAAGGATATATAGAGCTTTGCGGACCGGCCACGGAACCGGCTAGGGACGGAACTTCATGCACTTCACCGATGAGGTTGAGGAGGGCAACACGGACAGTGAAGCGGAGCGCAGCAAGGCGGAGTCGGACGGAGTTGGACAATGACGTCATGTTGCGGAGCACCACTTGGTTTCTATATGGCCTGCCGGGACGCCAAATCCAATCACCGCTCGGCCAGGAAGAGGCGTGGAGTCGACATGGAGATCGCGAAGCAGCGGAGTGTGGAGCGCCTCAGGCTGGCCAGAGGAGCTTCTGCTCGGCGTGCAAGCTGGCATTGTGACCCCGAGCGATGGGTGTTAGCAAGCGAACGAACATGTGCTTCATGGCAGGCGCGAACGAAAGAGGTGGAGCGCCGGCAAGCTGGTGGCCTTTTTGGACACCGCGTGCGCCAAGAGCGTGGCCGGCAGTTCAAGTTTGGAGCCTCACTAATTCACATATTCCAGTTTGCGCAGCTTGGAGAACTTCAAGGTTGAGGCGGCAATCGTGCAATCGTCCCATGCCAAGAGATGCTGCTGTTTTTCAAGGAAGTCCTGGTGTGCTCGGCACCAACTATACTATCCCAGCCGGAAAAGTCGATTTGCAAGAGCTTGGTCTGGAAGGCCTCGCCGTCGGAAGTTTAGAGACTGGGCGCCCTGTGCGTCCCCAATAAGCCTTGCGTGCAGACTTCTGTTCTACCCAAAGAAGGTCGCCACGGAGGTGGAGTTGATGTTGATGGGGCTTCGCCCTCTCACATCTTGCGCATGGCGGAGAGGTGCCGGGTAGAGTCGGAGGCCGAGCTCATCAGAGTCCATGTGGTGCCGCGCAAGGGACATTTCGAGGCATAAAAAACAGTTTCGTGAATTTGAAAGAGAACATAACTGTTGGAGGTGGTTGGCGATGTTGTTAGACAAGAAAGCCTGCATCATGAAGGGTCTCAACAAAGAAATCGAGGAGCTGTGTTTGACTGACATCGGCAAGATTGCGAAGACTTGGGAAGCCGTAGCCGGTTCAAGCGACAGGCCTACGCCCCTAGCTTTGATGCCGGCCGGAAGACAAACAAGACCGAGATCCTTGCAAATGAGAGGAGTGGTGTCGCATCGCAACTGGGCCCCGCCGGAGGTGCGTCAGATCCTAGCCGGAGAGGGAAGCGGAGCAGCCGGCCAAGGCGGAGGACCTGATGAAGGGCATCCCGCAAGATCAAGTTTTTGAGAGAAACTAAGCTGCCTAGAGCGGAGCAAGATGAAGGCAAACCCCAACGCGAGCCGTAGCTGGTGAGATTGGCTAAATGGGCCACGGAAGAGATGAAAAAGCGCGACGGGGCGAAGGGCGGCTATGTTAAGACCAAGCACGGAAACGCTCAAAAAGTTCGCAACTTTCCAAACGTCGGGAATGTGCCAATCGATCAAACAAGTTCCACACGCGCGCAATGCTCGACACGTTCGAAAAATTCGACACTTTCGAAACGTTCAAGACGTACAAAAGGTTCGCAGCGTTCGAAACGTTCGAAAAGTTTGAAATTTGAAACGCTCGAAACGTTCGAAAACATCGAAAAGTTCAAAAAGTTCGAAGCATTCCAAACGATCGAAACTTTCGAAACGTTCCAGGCGATCGAAACGTTCCTAACGATCCAAACATGTCACAGAAACTTGTTCGAAGCCGAAACAGGCCAGGGGCAGTGTTAGCAGCCGAAACAGGCCAGGAGCAACGTTAGTAGCCGGCCAGGCAACGTTCGCAGCCGAAGAAGTCGCAGCCCCATTGATGCTACTCTAATTGAATGCAGTTTTTACTGGTCGACGGTCCTTGCGAAGGTCCTTGACTGGAGGAACTGCGTAACCTTCCGCAGAGGGTTGCTTCGAACCACTCAATTTTGTTTGACCAATTTTGACCTGGGAATCGTTTTGCTTTGGGTATATGTGACAACTGGCGGAAAACTCAGAGCAGTGGATTCCGGACCTCCGTTATAAGGTTCACTAAATTGCCATTTGAGCTCAAACGCGACAGGCATTCGGTCTTCCGGAGGGTTGCGCAGGTTTCTGGACGGGGTTGCAGGCTTGAGGTGCTTGCGATTTTTTGGAGAATGCCACGTATCCGAGCTTACATGGTTGCATGTTTGCCGCCGCATTCTTTTGGCTTAGAGTTTTTGTAGCGTTGTTGCTCTCAAAGCTGCGAGCGTTGGGAGATGGTGGCCTATATCAAGATGTTCAAGAAGCCGAGGGCCAACTGATTCTGGTGAGTGAAATCATCGCGAGACAGCTGGGATGTCGGAATCTTTGCCCTGCTGACGATGAAGAGGTGGCTGGATAACACATTGCACTGCAACTTAGAGCTTCAAGAAAGTGGCGTTGCATCAACGCTTGCCCCACGTATTTCAGCGTGCGTGGATGCGAGGTTCTTTGTCATCTAACCGCTGACGCTGTTGTGTTGCACCCTTCGCCCGCATCCAGGCCATCCCGCATGGACCTCCAACTTGCTCCCCCGCGTAAATGTGCAAAAGCAGTTAGCCAACAAAATAAGAACCCTGGTGGAACCCTGGTGGAACCGTCATCAAATCTTGCCTCAGGGCCGCCGACCACCCCGGAGCCTATCTGGGCTGAGACCCCAAACCTTTCAGCTGTTGGGGAAAAACCCAAAGGTTCCAGATGGCAATTCGTCACAAAGTGGCTGCGTAGCCGGCCTACATAGCTGCCCTTTCAGTGACCCCTGATTTGAGCCGATTCGAGCCTGGTCAGCTTCGCAAGCGTGGCAGCGCGTGCCGCACAGAACTCAGGCAGCGCAGGAGTAGCTTGCATGTTGGCAAGAACGAGTTGAAAACAATGCCACTCTGTTTGCACGACGCTTCTGCCTTTCCTGGTGTCAGAATCTTGATCAATGAGACATTTTCCTGAGGCAGCCAGGTTTTTGTCATCTGACCGCCCGTTAGTGACAAAGCCCTGCCTGAACCCTGCCTCCTGCCCTTGCAAGCCTGGCGGCTCGTGCCGCACAGAACTCAGGCAGCGCAGGCCATTCGAGCGCCTTTGCAAGCGTGGCGGCTTGCGCAGCAAAGACCTCGGAAGCGCAGGAGTAGATTTGCGTGTTGACGGAAGCATCCCGAAAACAACACTACTCTTTGAATGATTCCACTCTTATTGCGCCTTTGCAGGTGTGAGAACCTGGATCAATGATAATCACGATAGGGCACGAGGCCAGCCAGTTTTGCCTTAGGCGTAGCTGACTGCCCCTGACTGCCCAAGCCCCCCCCGACCTCCGCATAGCCAGAGGTTCGCCTCAGGCCTACGTGACTGACCGCCCCTCAGTGACCAAGCCTTGCCTCTCGAGTCTGGTCGTGGCAGCGCGCGCCGCACAGAACTCAGGCAGCGCAGGCCATTCGAGCGCCTTTGCAAGCGTGGCGGCTTGCGCAGCAAAGACCTCGGAAGCGCAGGAGTAGATTTGCGTGTTGACGGAAGCATCCCGAAAACAACACTACTCTTTGAATGATTCCACTCTTATTGCGCCTTTGCAGGTGTGAGAACCTGGATCAATGATAATCACGATAGGGCACGAGGCCAGCCAGTTTTGCCTTAGGCGTAGCTGACTGCCCCTGACTGCCCAAGCCCCCCCCGGCCTCCGCATAGCCAGAGGTTCGCCTCAGGCCTACGTGAATAACCACCCCTCAGTGACCAAGCCTTGCCTGAACCTTGCCTCCTGCTTCGTGTGGAAAAGTGCTGTTGCCATTCGGGCTGCCTTTGCAAGCGTGGCGGCGCGCGCCGCGTGTTGACGGCAGCGTGAACCGTTTGCCTGTTTGGGCGTCAGAAGTTTGATCAATCAGTGTGACGAGGCATGAAGGAAGCCAGGGTGCCTTGGGCCTACGTAGCTGACCACCCCTCAATGACCAAGCCTTGCCTGATCCCTGCCTCATGCCTTGAGTCTATTCAGTGTTGGTGGACGTTTGGCTGCCTTTGCGAGCGTGGCGGCTCGCGCAGCACAGACTTCGGCAGCACACGAGTAGTTTGCATGTTGGCGGAAAAAAGTTGAAATCAACACCGCTTTCAACAATGCAACTCTGTTTGCATGACTCCTTTGTTGTTGGCTTCAGAATGACGCCGTAAGTAGCCAACGAGTAAACTTTGCCTGACCGCTGCCTCATGCCTTGAGTCCATGCAGTGTTGGCGGACGTTTGGCTGCCTTTGCGAGCGTGGCGGCTCGCGCAGCACAGACTTCGGCAGCACACGAGTAGTTTGCATGTTGGCGGAAGAAAGTTGAAATCAACACCGCTTTCAACGATTGCATGACTCCTTTGTCGTTGGCTTCAGAATCCTGCCCAATGATAAAACCATGTGATTCACGCCGTAAGTAGCCAACGAGTAAACTTTGCCTGACCGCTGCCTCATGCCTTGAGTCTATGCAGTGTTGGCGGACGTTTGGCTGCCTTTGCGAGCGTGGCGGCTCGCGCAGCACCGACTTCGGCAGCACACGAGTAGTTTGCATGTTGAAATCAATACCGCTTTCAACGATGCAAACTCTGTTTGCATGACTCCTTTGTCGTTGGCTTCAGAACCTTGACCAATGACAAAATTGTATGGTTCACGCCACAAGTAGCTAACCGCCTCTCAGTGAGTAAACCTTGCCTGCCAGCTTCTTTCCAGTGCCCTCGATTCGTTTTTCGGGTGCTATGATCCATTTTGAAAATACGGGCGCTTAGTCCTAAATCAAAGAGGTCACTTAAGCCATTTAAAGGGCGCTTAGACCCTCAGGGTTGCCGCCCCCAGTGGTTGTGCGAATCGAGGTCACTTACCCCTTGAAAAGGTCACTTACGCATACTTACGCTAGTGTCGGCCCCCCCTGCGTGAGTGTCATTCGCGTGTTGCTGCAGCTTTATTTGCCCAGCGTCGGTCCCACCCCCCCCGTGCGAGTGTCATTCGCATTCACGTGTCGCGGCTCGATTTGCCCGGACTGAGGAGGGATCTGCTGACACTCAAATGACACGCTTTGACACTCACAGCGCCATGTTCGGGCTTTCCGGGTCGGCCCCAATCTAGCTTGTTCAAAACCTAATCCCCAATGATTAGCGCGGATTACGGATTGTGCGGTTTCTTTCGGATTAGATTGTGCGGCTTACGGATTGTGGATTATGGGGTGCACGCATTTTCCATACTCCAACATCGGGTTTGACCCAAAGTTTGAAGCAAGGGTTAATCCCAACAACAACGACTTGACCATGGCGTGAGATAGGCGGATGAGGGCCTGGCGCCGGCGCCGCAGAAAGTGCTGTGCTTCAGGAAGAGTTCGATTTCAACAGAATCCCAACCCCTATCAAGCCAAAAAGGACACTTAGCAAACTCACTTGGGCCACCGACACGGCCTTAAGTGCCCTCGATTCAAACACACGTCAAGTGCCCTTCATTGGAGGGCATTCAAAATATGTTGGTGAAGGCCTCATGCCTCATGCCTTGAGTCTATTCAGTGATGGTGCCACTTTCAATGATGCCACTCTGCTCGTATGATGCTTCTGTCGTTGCTGGCTTTGCAAGTGTGGCTGCGGTGTCAAAAAAATGATCAATGATGATTACAATGAGGCATGAGGGTAGCCAGGGCCCAGCCCCAAGCCGTGCAAAAGCCCTGCCTCCTGCCGGCTGTTTGGGCTGCCATCGCTGCTCACGCAGCATAGAACTTGGCGTTGCGTGTTGGCGAAAGCAAGCGCAGCGAAGCACAGGGAAAGGTGGATGTGTTGCCGTAAGTTGCTGTTGAATCTTCGCAAGAGATTTATTATCATGGGCTAACAACACCTCAAGTCGTTATGTTTGCAGCTTGGTTGGATTGATGTCCGTCTGCTGCTCTAGTTGGCCGCATCATCGGCCGGAAGGGTGAACGCATCCGTCAGATTTGCGACGAGTCCAACGCAGCGTCTCGGACGTGAGTGGTTTCTGGGGCGGAGGGGGGGGGGGCTTCCACCGGTATTGCAGATGGGTTTTCCCATTCATTGGGCTTCATCCATAGCTGGCGCAGGGTCCCCGAACAATTTTTGACCCCCGCTCACATGGCTCGTGGCTTGTTTCAGGTGGATGCTCCCATTAGCCAGGTCGATGGCTGGATAGGAACACTCCCCCCCCGGTGCGATCACACTTCGCCATCCCAAGTGTCGCTGAAAACAACAACCCTTTAATGCTACCAATCGCTTTGTAAGACTTGCCGCGCGCTCGATTGCATGCATGCGTGTCAGCAACACAGAGCTGGATTTGCGCACGGATTCTGGCTTTTGGAGAACAGTGCCTGATGCCGCGCTGTGTTGTGACGCCAGCACCTGACTTGCTGCAAGAGGCGGCGATGTCGAAAGAGCGTGCGATCACACCTTGAGGGCATCGACGCGAGCCGCAGATTGAAGAGAAATTGTGCCCAGCCAATAGGTGGAACTTGACAGCCATCCACCAACCAGTGACTCAGTGTGCCGGGTGGTGGGATATCTATCCTTTCTTGGCCCTGTAGTCTGCCCGTCTTCCATTGCCAAAGTGCACTTGGACGCCGATAAGCATCTAGTCAAAAATTACAGAAAGCTGCAGGAAAACACTCTTAAGAGGAAATTTGCTCCCTAGCGCGGAAGGGGTCTTTTGTTTAGAGTTTTTTGAGCTTAAATTAACAATATGATTGAAGCATGTCCAGAGTGGACTAGGTGTTTTCCATGTGTTTTCCCTTTACACTTGACTGAGCCAATCACCTTCGGTGGCTTTCCGGAAAGCCACATGTCGAGCGCCCGAGAGCCAATTTGCTGAGGAAGCCATCCTCCAGCTCTAGTGTTCGCCTCAGCTTGAGTCCCTCATATCTGCCACATGCTGTTTCCAGGGCAAGTTGCACCAATAGTACTGCACCACCTAAGAAACCCTGGAATGATGATTCCCCTGTAAATACTTAAGCGTTATGGTTTGCCATGGTTTCCAATTGGTGCGAACGGATTTCGCAACCATCCACGGTAGTAATCGGAGCCCCTGTCAAAACCAGTAATTGTATAATAGGATGAAGGTGGGCTCCGGGAGTTCAAGTGTAGTGTTTAGACAAAAGGAATGAGGCGGCGTGTCCTGGTCCTTAATGTTTTGACAAAGGCCCAATTTGGCTGCGAGCTTTGATTTTCAAACTACCTCAAACGTGGCTGTTGGTTTCCTGTTACCTGAATCCCCACCCAAATGGCTTTGGCTCGGGTCACACAGGTAATAGTCTTGCTTTTCCCTGCAGCATGCCATTTGGGGTGCAATTGTTTGACCAACTTGTGTCCACCAACGGGTCCCCACTAAAAGTCGCACCCATACAGAATATTATGCTATATGGGTATGGCTCGACATTCAACAGGAGGGGGACGGCCTGGTGTGTGTGTGTGTGTGTGCGTTTGTTTGTGTGTGTGCGTGTGTGTGCCTCTGCGTGCGTGTGCCTCTGCGTGCGTGCGTGCGTGCGTGCGTGCGTGCGTGCGTGCGTGCGTGCGTGCGTGCGGCGTGCCGGGCGTGCGTGCGTGCGGGCGAGAGGGCGGGCGGGCGGGCGTGCGTGCGTGGGTGGCTGGGTGGTTGGGTGGGTGTGTGTGTGTGTGCGCGTGTGCGGGTGCGGGTGTGTGCGTGTGTTTCGTTTTGCAATTGATTGTTTGGTTTGCGTTTGCGCATGACACGTATGACTCCTGATGATCCAGGTCAACTTGAAGTCATTGGTAGTCGCGCTAAATTGATCTATACGATGATTCACACAAATGAGGCAACGTCTCCAACAGCGATAGGATATGATTGTATGATGATTAGTTGCCAGGTTGTATTTGTATGGATGTGTTGAATGCTGATGTCATATTTAACATGTATTTGGCTGCAGCGTTCGGGATTGAGTCTTGGAGGTCGTTTGCCTGTAGTTAAACCTGCAATTGATAAGCGTGACATCCATCCACATGAGACATGATTGATTTGGCATGCTGGAGCAATGGGTGCTTCAGATGCACAGCTAGCTGTAGGTGGAGTTGTGGCATGCTGGAGTGGTGGGTGCTTCACATGCCCTAAGTTTGTGACGCAGATGTGTCGCCTGTGACCCTTCCGGCTTGACGCTTTCCGCAGACTTGGCGGCACTGCCAAAGCAGAAGATTGCGCACATGTCATGTTTGACGACTTGCGGTCAGTTGGCAAAACTCCAACACCCGATTGACCCTGCAGCT